TAATTATCTGTCCAGGGTAAATAACAATGCTTTCAAAAAGAGAAATTTTTGGAGCCAAAAGAAAGCCAAGCAACAGTCTATATTATGAAATATGTTTGACTGAAACATGAAATTATTATTCAAACAGTACTGAAGTTGTCTAGAAGAACAAATAGTGGAGGCTGCCAGAATTTATTTACTCTAGGGTTTCAAATAATGCTTTCAAGAGTATGGTTAATTACATCACAAATTCTAACTCGGCACATTTAGTTGCCAAAAATACCAAGAAAATGGTAAAAATAAATAAATAAATAAATAAATAAATAAATAAAATGAGAGAGCGCTACCAGTATCACAATTTTTTCTTATAACTGTATAAACAGTATCACGAGACACCTAAAAGAAACTACCACCAAGAAAAAAATGATAATTAACAAAGTGGAATACTTAAAGGAGGAAAACTCTAAATAAAACTTAGTGTTCTAAACTATTATAAAAGTAACTATTCACTACGAAGAATTTCTAGAAATATGAATTACTGAAATTATTCAGTAACACACTGGAAGAAAATGCAATGTCAATGAAAAGTCTAAGAAAATGCTTCTCTCCTCTTTCCTAGAAAGACATGGAATATGAATGTTTTTAGTTATCAAATTGATTTAGAAGTTCTAGAAAGTAAGAGAATACACAAGAGAGAAAAAAGATATGGAAAAAGAAAACCCACTACAAAAAGGCTGACCTAAACTTTCATATTCAAACTGTCCACTAAACCTTTTAAGACAATGAGCAAAAAATGAGACTCTAATTCACCCTCCTTTAATTTCATAATTCCAAAGACACAGAAGCATCAACAGGTTCCATAGAACAAAAGTGGATTTTCCGCAAAGAAACATTCATGAGCCACCACACCATCATACCGCTCTTCAATAAAAGTAGTTATTAAAGGCAAAGAAATGCAGTCTTCAAAATTCTGAATGAAGACAATTTAAATCTGAATTTAAACCCAGCCAAGGAATGTACCAGACATAAAAGTCAAAAGGACAGTTTTAAATATTACACTGGCAAACACCCATACACATTACTCCTGAAAACATGTATCAGCTTAGGAGACATTGTAGGAAACTGTGAAATGAGTTCAAAACAAAATAATAACAATATGAGATCCAAGGAAGCATGTAGCTTAATAGAGAATGACATGGTGTTTTCATACCCAGAAAACAGTACATTAGTACTTCGCATACTGGGATTAAAAAGCAAAACAACCAATGAATAAAGCATATGTTTTTCAACCAGCAGGGGAGAAACATAGCCCTAAGAATGTTCAAGAAAAAGACAGGCATTGTCACCAATACCTACAATTCCAAACTTGGGAGACTGAGGCAGGAAGAACACAAGTTGAAGGTCCGTTTCGGATATACAGTCAGACCTTGTCTCAAAAGCCATAAAAGGAAAGAAAAAAAAGTTACAAAAATCATGACGCAAACCATAGAAAGACATAATTTTGAGAACTGAGAAACTACAAAAAAAGTCCCTTTTATCTTTAGAATATCATAAATGTTGTTCTTTGCTTTTCAGTTATAGCAGTTTAACTACTATAAACCTTGGCAATAAACAATAAATATTATATATAAACAGCACAATCCATAAAGGGAATATTAGGAATTCAAGACACAGTTTACAAAAGCAAATTTAGAGATAATGTTTTCAAAGGTGCTGGTCCAACATCTAAGTTTTAGCCATAAAGGCAACAAAACAAAAAGGAAAAGGTAAATGGGTCTCCCAACTTAACTTTTTTTCATTTTCATAACAAAGACACCAGATTATGTAAAAACAGTTATTCAAAAATAAAGTACTGTGTATTTGCACAATTAGGCTACTGATCAACACAAAAATTAAAGATAAAGTTTACAGCTGAGCAGTCATGGCGCACACCTTTAAGTCCAGCACTCAGTAAGCAGAGAAGGAGGATCTCTGTGAGTTTGAGGTCAGCCTGGTCTACAAAGTGAGTTCCAGGACAGCAAGAGAAACTGTCTCAAAAAGATTAGATAGATAGATGGATAGATGGATGGATGGATGGATGGATGGATGGATGGGCGGGCAGATGCTACAATGATTTTCTCTAAAGACAGGAACCAACTGAAGAGGTAAAGCACAGAAACGTCTGACATTTCATTTGACACCTGAGTAGTTACTCACATCCTCACATTATGTTCAGATGGTCACTACTTCTCAACAAACATAAACACGGATTCAGACAGACAAACACACAGATACACAGATGATGGAGGAAGGTCATTGGCTAATAAAGAAACTGCCTTGGCCCATTTTATTGGTCAGAACATAGGTGGGTGGAGTAAACAGAACAGAATGCTGGGAGGAAGAGGAAGTGAGCTCAGACTCGACAGCTCTGCTCTCTGGAGAGACGCCATGCTCCCCTCTCCCGGGCAGACGCAATAGCTCTGCTCTTTGAGCCAGACACCATGAAGCAAGCTGCCTGGTCAGACATGCTGAATCTTTCCCAGTAAGACTGATGCTACACAGATTATTAGAGATGGGTTGATCGGGATATGAGAATTAGCCTGTAAGGGCCAGAGTTAATGGGCCAGGCAGTGTTTAAATGAATATAGTTTGTGTGTTGTTATTTCGGGGCATAAGCTAGCCAGGCGGTCGGGGTGCTGGGGACGCAGCCCCGCCGCCCATATTACAACACACAGAATATGTGTGATTCTCTGTCCAGTATAGGAACAACAGAATTTCTTGCATACCATTTTCTTTGTTTTCTATTATATAGTCTACAGACTAAACACCAACCTTCCATCATGGTATTTCAGAAAAGATGTGGTTAATTAAAAATACTCAAGGCCTTGGGCCTTACACAGACAGGAATATAAAGATATCCATAGTCATTACCTCATTTGGGCCTTAAAAGAGTCTTACAAACCAGATTTTAGGAACTAATAAAGAAAAATTTTGAAGGCTTAAATGATTTGCCATCTTCTCTCCTTCCTTTCCCTACCAAAGAAAGAGAGAGAATATAAACTAGTTAAGAAAAAAAAATTCACAGCACTGCAATCTGAATGCTTTCCAAATACATAAGAATAAAAGAAAAAAGTTAACATCGAAGATCAGTTGTAGCAGGAATTCTAATAAAACCCAGAGTCAGAAATAAGGCGGTGGGAGCTGAAGGATGAGAGAAGCAATACAGCCAGCCACTAGAGAGACCTTTAATCGCTACCAATGTTCAGACCAAAGAAGCAATCCTGTCCTCAGACTATCTCCTCCGATAGCACTGAGCTCTTATCTCCTTCTGCTTTTTATTCCTCTCTCTGTCCAGCCAGATCACTCCAGTCTCCACCTCTCAAGTGCTGGGATCACCTTTGTGTGCGCTCTGCTTCTCTTTTAGACAGATTCAATCTCGAGTAGCCCAGGATAGCCTTGAACTAACAAGAGATCCATCTAACTCTGCCTCCCAAATTCTGGAATTAAAGGTGTGAGCCACCACTCCCTGGCCTCTAGGGGCTTAGCTCTGCACTCTGATCTTTATCTGTTAAAACACACACAAAAAAAATATCACTACAGTCAGTCACTTTGGAAAACAAATTGACAATTTTATAAATTTAAACAGGCACTTACCCATATAGCCCAAAATCTTATCCTAGGTTATTACCCAAAACAAATGGAAATACATTTTAAGAAGGCATGTACTCAATGGTCATAAAAAGTTTATTCATAATATTCAGAGACAGTCCAAATTTCTACCAAGTATTAAAAGAATAAAGGCAGAAGTGAGTGACATGCCTATAATCCCAGTACTCAAGATGCCTAGCAGGAAGGTCATCAAATTGGATGACTACCTGAGCTACATGACCTTGGGTATAAAGTAAGATTCTGTTTCAAAAAGAAAATTAGACATAAACAAATAAATGAAGAACTTTATTTCCACACCTCAGAATCCTCCTTCTCACATATATCACATGGATAAAGCACTCAAGTATGTACAGGAAAGAAGCCAGACACAAAAGACTGTGGATTTCAAGAGTCCATTGAACTGAAATCTTAGAAAAGCATAATTATAGTAACAGACAGCACATGAGGTGGTTGTCAAGGTTGAAAGAGAAGCACTGAACCAAAAAGAGGCAGAAATAAACTTTTATAGAGTGATGGACATGTATGCAGACTGTAGTGTTTGCTGCATCACCATAAATATTAAACATAACTCATTAAAATGCTATACAACTTAATGAGGCCTATTTAAAAATTCCATAATACATATGGCTTTTTAGCATAGATATTAACCAAAGATCTCCAAAGAATATGAAAAGTAGTGTTTAAGAGGTACCTTAGTTAACAAAAATATAGGACTCAAAAGCATCCCTCATCCTATTTGATTGGTCATGCAGGTAGACAGGTAAAGTGGCTGAGCATCCAGCCTAAAGACTAGATCTCTAATAAACATACAGATGATATAAGGTGGTGATCACTCAGATTATAAACTAAATTTTACATCGGCTGTATTTATCTAAAGAATGGACAAGAAATACACAGTAAAAGTAGATAATATAAACAAGAAATACCAAATTAAACAAAACACACAAAGAAAATCACTCTCCACATTTGAAGTTTTACATCATAGCTTTAACTTACCTAATTTATGGACCTGTTCAACAATTCAACAGTGTATGGACTAAGCTTTCCCTTCCTTTCTACCACCATACAAATTGACTCAATAGAGTATTTTTACCTAAGTATTTATATTATACAGACACGAGTCCTTTTCTGTATGTTAAGTAATTCTGTAAAGTCTGTAGAATATGAAGACACCACAGAAAAATACAGTACTCACATGTGTGCATATAAAATCTAGTATCATAATTACAAACTACAAAAATCAAAATTAGAAGGAAATTCCCAATAAGCAAATTCCTAGCCTACATGTTGATCATTATTTCTGTCTTAGACAGCACATCAGCATTTACTTGATCAGCTCTCAGGACACACTCGCTGTTCAGCACTTAACTTACCCCTCTTCTGAACCCAACCTTCTTTCACAATGGTAACATCGCTCATGATGGCTCCCCTCTGAGCCCCCAACTTGGAGAAATGATGCTTTGCAGGATCAGTTTTAGGATTTGGATTCTTTGCTGTGGCTGCTGCTGCTGCTGCACTTCCCACTCTCTAGTGATGACTCAGCCTGGAAGGAAGTATTGAAGAAGAATTTCTTTTTTTTCCCCATTCTTGAACTCACATAGCAATAACAAACAACTAAGCCTTTGTAAATGCCTTCATTTGACCTGACGTCACATAAAGTCTAACTCTTCACACATGAGGGGCTTATTTACTGAACAGTTCTGTAATGACGACACTGCTCTGGTCTTGTGACAAATGTGACATGACAGTGAGTGGATAAAATGTCCTGACAAACCACGTCAGACCTACACAAACAGACAGAAAGCATGCTCAGAACATACACTGGAATGACGGGACAAAGAATAAAAGTTAAGTGGCTCAAATCCCTCTAATTTCAGATAGTTATGTCAAAGTACTTTATGTAAAATACAATGTGCCACGAAACTAATGTTTATATAATCCGCCTTGCTCTAAAAATACTTCAGGTAGATTACATTAAGTACACAACATGTAGTAATTTTTTGGTAGATAAAGAAAGTGAAACAAAGGAAATATGAAGTAGAAAAGACATGACAATAACTAACTGTTCATCTATCATAATCTGATCATCTTCACAACTGTATTAGGGCACTATTAATTTCACAGAATGGAAAAAACTGGGACTCACAGAGAAAAGGTAACTTGCTAGACTTCAAGGTAGTAAATTGTAGAGCTAAGTTCTGAATTCAGAATGCCTGACTCTGAAGTCTGCTCTCTTCATTTCAAAACTCTACATGTGAAAGATGAGCCAAATTTATGAAATAAAATGTTTTAGGAAATTTGCAAATTCAAAAATATGACAGGTTTCAATGCAACAGTATCTGTAATATAAAAAAAACCAGAATTGCTCAAAAAGAAATAAAGTGTTTTCTAAGACAAACAGTAGAAATGTATGCCCTGGGTCTTTATATGATAAATTCGGAGTAAAAAGGCTCATATATATATATATATATATATATATATATATATATATATATGGCAGTAAACTTAATGAACTATTTATTATTATCCCTACCAATCTAAGAAAAAATTGCTTCTTCATTTGCAAAAATATGGACTAGATATGCTGGTGTTAGGTGGCCAAGGACAAACGGCATGAACTCTAGGTAACTAGAAAAAAAAAACAAAAACAGGTATCTAGAGTAACTGTACTACTCTATGAAGTTGGGTTTTCATAAATAGTACACAACATTAAATTCAACGTTAGATTCCCAGCTAGTACTGAACTAAATTATAAGTTTTCCTCCAACACATATTATATGTAAAGCCTAACTTTTTATCAATCAGTGATTAAAACTAAACATTCTCTGAACAATCTGACAAAGGCTACATGACTCAACAGAAAACCACCCTGTCATGGGCTATACAAATATGTTACGTGCAATATATAGGAGAGAGGGCAGAACTACTCAAAAGCATAATCATGGGGACCTATTGCTGCAGAATAAAGACAGATGCTGCAATTTGGGTCTCTTTCCCAAAATGATGATTGTTTGAAAGAACATTAAACTAAAAGATTTGAAAAAAATAAATCGTTTGTTCAGGTAACTTTGGGGAAATTTTATAATTCTGTCCTCCTGACACATCTCTACTAACATTAAATATTCTAAAATAAGATATAATTTACCACCAGCAATTCCCACAATGAATACTGCCAGGAGAAAAGTCACATTATTTAAAGCAATACCCACTTCACATTAAAAACAGAACAAAAAAATAAAAACCCTAAAGTATAGCATTCAAACATCATTTTATTTTGATTGGGATCATATCTGAAAAACCCAAGTAACTGCATATTATATAGCTAAATCAAAGAGTTAACTCTGTATATTGTATAAAGAATTTTAAGTTAAATACTGGAAAAGACTAGTGCAAAATGATGTCATCATCATAGCTGCACTCAGCTCTTCTCACTGGTACTATTTAGACAAATGAGCTCAATTTCTAGTAAGATTGTTTATTTTTCTCATTATAAAACTATACAATCTGGACAAAAGAGAATTTATATCATTCTTGGGAGTAAAAGTAGAATAAATATTAGGATAATATCAAAAACAATATATCCAAGAGATACTTCCAATTAAAGTAAGATGTGTTGGAATACCCTTACAAAGAACACTGAGGATGGAAGTCTTCCTGAAATTCAACGAGATCAATCAAATCAATTAATCTTATTTTACAATGGACCTGTTTCTGAAAACTAATTTCTTGGACAGAGAGAGAGAAAAAAAAATAAAAAAAAGAGATAGAGAGGGAGAGGCATGGAAGGGAAAGGGAGGAAAGAAGGGAGGGAGGAGGGAGGAAGGGAGGGAACAATCAATGAATATATGTTTTTTAAAAAGCTTTTAAAATGTGCATTAAATTAAAGCAGCAACTTTTACAAACTTTATTAGGGCCACTGCACCTAACTGTTAGAGGTGGTCTTATTCCATCGCATTTGAAACAAGTTATCAAATTTTACCTATAACCACAACTTTTAGTTTTAAAACCTGTTCTTGTATCTAAAAGCTAAAATGGTATCATCATTAAAGATAATTTTTAAAATGTAATCATTAGATTAGCAGGAAAAGCTGTCTTTAATATGTAAAAGCAATGCTATTGGCTCCTAAACAATAAACATATTCTCTGGTTTGATTTCCTAAGTGGCAATGCTCCTGTTCCAGTCATCTAGTCTCCCGTTAAGTCACCCACATTTCCATAAACACTAGTCCACAAGATGAGCTAAAGTTCTGCCACCTGTTTCCAATGGTAAAGCAAACTTGACCCTCCTCCCATAGTAACTTTTGTAGAAATATGCTCTCTGCAGACTCTCTCCAGTGAGTTAACATAAAATTTGGTTTATTTTTAAGTTTATTGAATTAAATATTTTAGTGCTAGATAATCTAATTTTTAGCATTCTTATAAAAAGTTACACACAAAACTCATAGTGAATTCAATAGTAAAGTTATTTTCATTCATGATTCACTATTAGAGAATATAATAACTTCATCTGAATATCATTTTATAATATACAAAACCTTTCCCATCTTTAATTCTACTGAATCACAATATAAATTATTAAAGCAATTTGACTGTGCCTGGCACTTATTCAACAAATACAGAATTAGTGAATAAGTAGATGAATGAACAAAGATGTAACAGCTTTAGATAATAAAGAATAAGCTATGCAAACAAGTTTAGTAAGTCAACAGTGAAAATGGCAAGTTGCCATTTTTAAGACAAAACTAAGTTTAAACATTAGGGAAGCAGTTATATGTAATCAAAATTCCTCTATGTTAAGTCATGTTTCCTATGGCCTTCCATAAAGTGCAAGGACTAGACTACATTAAAACTACCCTATTTTTTCTTGACATTTTAAGTCACTTTGTGTTAAGATCATCAATTTTCAACTCAAAATAAAAGAAACCTTAATGTACCCAAAATTATTCATTATTGGAAGATTTTCTTATTGATGCTTTAAATAATTTTCAAGACTTCAGCAACCAATCATGCAATTTAAAGCAGTAATATCAAACATGCTTTAGAATGTCATTCACTCAAAAAATGTGAACTATACCAATACTTATTCAGTCAATAAATTATAATATATATGTATATACTGTCTACTCGGTGACAAGAACTAAAATAGCATCTTAAATCTTTCCCAAGCCTATTATATATTTGCTATCCAAGATCTTTCATTTGTAACCCCTATTTGATTCTTAATTATGAACCTAAGAAAAGTGTGTCCAAAAGCAATAATGACAGTATTTTCCACAGTTGCCACACACAGGGACAATCAATAAAAGTAATCACCTGCAATTAAGGTCTTCCATCAGTTTCATCTGCTTTATAAAAAATAACAAAATATAAACTGTCAAATGTAATTAACAAAATGTTTTAAAGTAAACCAAAGAAAAAAATAAAAGTATCAAGAAAACTATCACAAATGAACTAACATAAAACTAAACTTAGATTGAAAAGCACACAGTAATTCTTTCATACAAGTGAAAAGACACAGTAATTCTCTTTCATACAAGTAAGTGCAAAGTTCATATGTAAATAATTTCCTGTATGTCAGCTACCTCTTTTTTTTTGGGGGGGGGGGAGAAGGGGAATCTCTGAGACCTGTAGGCCTGACAACCCTGGAGCTCACTAAGTATCAGGAAGTGTCCTTGAACCTGACTCAAACCCCAAGTGCTGGGATTAAAGATGTGATCAGTCAAACCTGGCTTCATACATGCTTATTTCTAAATTAAAATCCATAATAACTTTCTTTAAACTATAGTTGACCTTTGGCTGTAAGGTTCTATGCTATCATTTTATAGACTTTATGATAGCCAAACTGAATTAATAAAAGAATTTAATTTTAACAACTGATATTTTAAAACATAAATAATGAGCAAGAAGAACTACTTTAGATTCTATGTAGTTTCAGATTTTAGTAAGTATATCGTAAGAAAATCTAAGCCAGGATGTAGCACATGACTGCAATTCCAGCTACTCTGGAGGCTGGGGCAGGGGAATCACAAGTTTGAGGCTAGTCTGGTAAGTATAGCAAGTTCAAGGTTAGTCTGGGCCACTTGGTGAGACCATGGCTCAAAATAAAAGCATTAAAAGGGAGAAGCTGTGAAAGCTGGTACAATAAACAAAACCCTGCTTTTGATTCCCCCCCCCAAAAAGAGAAGAAATTAATGTATATGCCAGGACAAATACACAAGGCTATATCAAACTTTCAAAAGTATATGCAGGAAAAGTAAACACACTGAAGTGGAAATGAAATTCAAAACAATTTGTCTTGTATTTTGAGTAACCTGTTCCTACTTGGAGTTGTTACCCTATAAACTCTATTCAAAATACAGTAATAACACTGTAATTTTTTTCTAAAACCTGCAACTTTTAGACAAACCGTCAGATCTTTCAAATTGTTAGTTCTTTTTTTTTTTTTTGCAGATTTCACAGGGATTTTCCCTTTCTCCGTCTATCAAATTGTTAATTCTTAAAAACCAACTCTATAAACAAAAATATACATACAAAAAAAAGCATTTTCCTCTTTTTCTCTACATCAATGTACAATCTCAACCAATGTACATCTCAACATGTCCATTATTAAAAAGCTTGTGCTAGGTGATATACCTAATATTCTGACTTAAAACACTGATATGTTTATCCTCTGTTTCATATAAACCAATAAAAAAAAGCTATTAAAACAACCCCTTTTACTTCTAACGTAAAATGTTGCTTAACTGTATATGAAGACACCTATGATAACTTAGGGCTACTAAAGAACACTGGCTCAACTGGCCATTTAATTCAATTTACACACAGAATTCTAAAATCTGCTTCAGGCACCTCTCAACTGTAAAATGGAAGTACTTAATGTACACACATAAAACCTATCTCTAGTCCACTAAACGTCAAGAATTACTGGCAGATTTTCCCCCCAGGATTAGAATCCCTGGCAAAGTTCTTCTCAAAGTTTTCTTTAGAAAAAGCAACAGACAGACCAAAAAACTTTATTAACTATTTTCAACTCTGCTTCACTCAGACTGGTACTGATAATGTCCCTTTAATTCTCTGTGTCTCAATTTCCTTAGCCACAAAGGAAATGTAGCATTAGATATTCGATAGCTTTTTCATAACTGATCTACAATTGACTTCATACAGAAGTGGCATTGCAGATGACAATCATGATTATGTACAGCTCCTATCCTCAAGATTTAATATACAGTTAAAACAAAGCATCAAGGAGGCAGGCATTCAACTCAAACCAAATCTGGACTAATCTCCATTATTGGCTAAATTCTACCTTCCTGTTCGAAACTCCCAGACATCCAGATATAGTCAGGGACTTTCTTAATATAGAAGAGATAAATTCTCCTCTAAACATCTTTTGTTTTCTTCTAGAAAACCTTTTTAATTTCCTTTCAGAATACAAGAAAAATTACCCATTTATAAATACAAAGTACATTAAGGCAATAATTTTTAAATAAGTATATTTGAATAGTTTTTAAGAACTAAAAGCACATTTATAAGCCAAAAGGCATATTAATCTATTCTCCAACTATTTGAAGATTTCCTAGGAGAAGTAAATATACCTCAAATTTGATGAAAGATACTACAATAAACTATGTAAACAGTTGGGGTATTTATTTAAAACAACTAAAATGAAAGAAATATTAGCAGTTTAATCAATACAGCTTTTAAAACTATATTAACTTGATCCTGTGGAACTTATTATAGTATAGATCATAATATAATATATATATATACACATATATAATTTAGCAATGTCACTGTGGACTCTAAAAATGAGTACAAAGTGTTTCAGAATAGGAAATTTTAAATGAAATGATATTTATGCTGTATGGAGTGTTTCTTATGTAAAGTTCACTTTCAAAAGTGCATCAAGATTGTTCCGAAGACTAGATGAATTACAATATTAAAGTACATAGCAATACCTGGCACATGGCAAGTGCTCAGGGGTTGGGGGCTAGAATTAACTGGAAACTAAGTCTAGTCCTATCAGATATTAAAGACTTTAATGACACATTTGTTAATAGTAGTCTACCTTAGAAAATAATATGCTGCATTAAACCAAAACTAAGAATGCAGAGGATGCTGAAATATGGCGCTCAACAGCAACGTTTAAATATTAACACAAACCTTCCATTAAAAATAGTTGCGTTATTAATTCAAGGTAACTTGAAAATGCAATCAAATATAAAATTAACCAAATAAAGTAATTTTAGGTCTTGCATTTAATTGTAGAAATTCAAAACGATCCCAAATTGGTCTTCTTTTTAATGCTATAAACTTAATCATTATAAAGCCCAGATCTTACTAAATTATGACTCAGATCCAATTAACACATTAATAGGAATCACCTTTTCATCCCAGGGATAAAGTCTTGAACTTATAGATACTACAAAGTAAAGTATTATTAGTATATAATAGTATAATTAGAAATTATTCTATTTTATGAATAATAGAAAGTATTATTCATAAAAATATGCAAAGTTTAATTAAAAGCTAAACTTGTACACAATGTATGAGACAAGTTCCCCTTTATGAAGAAGCCTAAGCATTTAGAAATTTTCACATTAAAATCAAAACCTGGAGTTTAAAATTCCTAAACCCCTACACTGAAAACCATGCTTTGTCCCTGAACTTTAATCAAAAGACTTTAGATGCAGTTCTATAAAACAAACTTTAATGATGGTATCTTCTGAATGAAGTGCTAAAACCTTACCCCTCCAAAGCACAATCCTCATCTTACTATTTATACAGTGAATTGAACCTTAAAATGTTTTAGCTGAAAAATTACATATACAAGCTTGTACTGTTGGCACACACCTATAATCCCAACACTCAGGAGGCTGGGGCAGGAGGATCCCTAGCAGGCCAGCCTAGGCTACAGAGTTAGTTTTATAGAAGCCTAAGCTACACAGGGAAACCCATCTATTCCAAAATCACAATAAATACAATTACAAATATAAAAAATCCAAAGATTTTCAAGTATTCTTTCATATACAATGCAAAACCACCAATGTTAAAGTTAAAGAAAAATAATTTTAAGTTGAAAACTATTCACTCATCATTACAGAAAACCTAACTGTAGGGGAAAATGAATAACAAATTTCATAATTTTTGTAGTAATAACTTTTAAAAACTAACATGCTACTGCAAATATACAAAACAAACACAAACAAAACCCTACATCTACATTCATCCAAATTTGTCACATTCAAATGACACTTTAAAATTAGAACCTCAAGATACTAGGGTCAGCTCTGTTTTTCAGGAAGTTATTAAATAGAATCAAGATTTCATAATGACAAAAGGAACAAAATCTAGTCTTGACCTGCACCTTGAATGCAGTTTCTGGTCATACAATCTGGAAAACTAGTAATTCATGAAGATACTTTTTAAAAAATGTTTTAAATAACCGTCTTCTGGAATATTCAGACCCATCTTCATGCCCTGAACCATATTTATTGGACGCTTCCACCTTTGGCTTTTTCAACTTTTTCCTAAGTGAATATATAACTTAACAGGAGTACCTACCATAAGCAAATGAAGTGGCTGTTTAGAAATTTATATTTCTACTAAAAAATATGACCGTGCTTTACCAACTACGGAACACATGTCTAAACTGATGATCTGAGACAACTGTCAATGACAAATGTCATATGAAGTCCTTGTGCTGTATCCCTTCCAGGACACACCAAACGTGTGATGACTCTATCAATAACAGAAATTAATCGATACAGATTCACAGGTTTTATTGTTGAATTTCTACCTGTAAACTTATCAATTACAATCCATCAATGTTTTTAAACCAAAATCACACTGGTGAAATGAGTTTTATTTTCATAACATCTTTTGATGGAGATATGAAAGAATCCAAGCTTTAACTTATGGGTAAGCTTTTTTTTTCCTGCTTTCTAAAGATAACAGTAAACACCACTACTGTAAAAACCTGGCCCTAAAGTAAGTCAGTTATCTCTAACCTAAGTGTAGATTCCCAGGAAATCCCACACAAGGGGCGACCCCGCCTCGGCACCAGGGCTATCATTGTCACCAGCCTAAGCTCCAACTTGGGGCTTCTAAAGGGCCTCACCAGCATCATGGCTGATGCAGACCGATGCGCAGGAGGTGGAGGAGGTGGACAAGGAAGAAGCTGGTTTGTTTACTTGCAGCCTGAGCCGCCGCCGCCGTCGCCGCCGCCGCCAGCGACAGCATCAGTGGATCAGCCAAACCCAGCATCTTCCGCACATTTCTATTCTTAGCACACAACTCCCTAGCGGATCAAAACCCCACTACTATTAAAAACACAGACTTGCACGTTACCCACCTCGCACACGCACACCCGCACCCCATCAGCACCGTCCTCTCCCGGGCGCCGGCGGGGTGCGGCGAGGTGGGGTGGGTAGCAGGAGAAGGAAGGAGACCCCGGGGACGCCGGTGCGTCCTCGCCCGCACTCCCGCCACATGCGCAGACGGCCCCTCCCCCCAACCCAAACACCGACTCGCCACCGGCTGCTGGCGTTACGTAACCTCGCCGCCGCCCCCCGTCCCGGCTCGCCGCCCCCTCCCCTTGCCGCGCGGCCGGGCGAGTTACGGGTGAAGAGGCCGGGCTCGAGCGAAGCAGAGCCCTAGGGCGCCGGGCCGGACGACCCAAACACGCAGCACACAGTACCGCTAGGCCGGGAACACCCCCTCCCCGGCCGCCCGTACAACCACCGTTCTCCCGCCCCCCCCCAAGCGAGGGGGTGTCGGTGTCACCCACGCGGGGCATCCCCCGGCCTCCACCTCCACACCCATAGCCCCAAAGCCTCCGGAGGGAGGGGGAAAGCCGGTCCCCCACCCACGCCCCCGGCGGCCGCGGTGACACCCAGACGCCCCCGCCTCACCCACCCGCGTCGCCGCCGCCCCCTCCCGAGGGAGGCAGGGAGGGAGCCGCGGAGCCCTCGGGGAGTTCGACGAGGCGGGGAGGGGGGCGAGAGCTGGGGGCGGCGGCTGTTACCTGCAAAGGCGGCGGCGGCAGCCCCGCAGCTGCTCGGGCGGTGGCGGAGGATGGAGCGGGGGGGCGGGGGAGGAGAGGGGGCGACTCGGGGGTCCCCCTCCCTCCTCCTCCCCTCCTGTCCTCCCCCCCACCCCGCTGAGCCTCTGGCCCCCTGGAGCCCGGTGCTGCCGGCGGGAGGGGAGACGAAGGCTGCAGGGGAGGGAGGGAGGGAGCCGGCCGAGCGGGCGGGCCGCGGCGCTGGAGCGGGCGGCGGCGGCAACGGGAGGAGGGAGGAGGAGGGCGGGCGGCGGCGCGGGGAGGAGGAGGAGGCGGAGACTCTACTTGGGAATCGGATATCGGCTACAAATTCAATTCATCACCAGAAAACACCGCTCGGGCGGGGGGCCGGGTCCAGCTGCCCGGCCGCGGGGCCGAGCGTACAAGGCCGGAGACCCCGGACAGCGGCCTCGCCTCGGGGACCCGGCAGCCGCCTCCCCGCCCCCTCCTTCCTCCCACCAGGGGCTGCCGCCGGAGCTTCTTGCCGCCGCCGCCGCGGGGCTTGTTGTTGACTTTGAGGAAAACTCCTGACGTCAGGGGCTGGCTCTCCGCGACTGGCGGGAGCGGCTTCCCCGCGCCCCGGCCCCTGCTCGCCGCCTCAGCTCCGCGCCCCAACCGGGCGCCCGTCCCCAGGCTGCCCCGCGCCCCTCAGACCCGCGGCGACCCGCGCCCCTCGGCTTCCTCTCGCGAGAACACCTCCCCTAGCAGCCCGCGCTGCGGGGCCGCTGTTCCCGCCGCCGGGAAGTTCTGGGTTTCCCCCGGGCAGGGTGGCCCTCGACGGGGCGCCCGAGGCCCAGGACACCCACCGCGCTGGGACGCCGCGGGGAGTGCGGGCCCGGGGTGAGGTGAGTCGTTCTCACCTGCACCTGGGCGAGGCGGACTCGGGATCGGTGCAAACCAGGTATCTGACCATCCCGGGAGACGTGACCGTCCAGTCCGAGAGCCAGCCGCCACCAGTGGGCTGGAGGTGGCAGTGACACCCCGAGCCCCTCAATCACCTCCTTGTGTGGGGTTTTTGACTTTGGGGCATTACGAAGACGTTTCTTTTGAAGTTCATGGCTGAGGAGACTTAGTACAGTGGAGACTGGTTTTTAGAAAATGACCGTATTTTACTACGTAGCACCCACTCCTGGAAGTCATAAAAGTTTACTTTTCCTGATACCGTTCCAGCACTTCTGGAAACACCTCGCGAACCGATATTAATCCTAGTGGGTCTAGTCTTTTGGAAGAACCCGTTAGTCTCTCCCATTGTAAGAATGTGTTTGGTACCTTGGGCTTCTTCCTGCATACATTTCTGTCGCCAGTCCCTCTTCTCTAGCTCTGATGTTTTGCACTACACCCCCGTGTCTATACAGTGCATCATGTCTTCACGTGCTGCACAGTTACCAGTGAGCTAGCTGGGTCCCCATCAAGTCCAAAGTCACTGGTAGTGGTGTATGTCTTCTAATGGAAGACTTGGATCCTCGAGTTGCAAAGGCTGGATTGGGCTGGCAGGTTTCAGATGTTTATAGCTCTAGCCAGAGAACTGTAGTTTGTGTTTCTGAATGTTAAGAAGCAGAACCAAATAGCTATAAGAACGTATATGAAGACTTACTGCTCTGGCTTTGGTTTCCAATAGCCCAGAACTCTTGAGGCTCAACAGTTGGCTCTCTCAACAGTAGTGAGCATCAGCTAGGAGGAGTACGGCCTTTGAGTTGTTGGTGTTGGTCCCTAGTGACAGACCTGCAGTCTCTGGACTTCCACGGTCCATAACTGCCGTGACCGCCCTCTCAGCACCTGTTTCTCACCACCCACAACCGCTTATGCTGGTCTTGACTGTTTGGCTGCTGCCGCTACTTGCCATGGCTTGTTGCCACTGGAGCTGTGCTGCCTTTTCCTCTTCCTGCTACTACTTCCGACCACTCTTCCCATGGTAAACATCCCAGGGAAGTATGGAAAGACCATTTGAGAAATCCTTCATTGGGCCTGATACTGCTAACAAAAAAAAAAAAAAAAAAAAAAAAAAAAAGACGTTGTCTCCTAGGGGGTGTGGAAATGAAGGATTGTATCTGTACTACTCAACACAGCGTTCAGTTCCACCAGCCACAGGCTGGCCTGTTTGGGCTGCACAGAGGAATGCTGTCTTGCCAAATTCTGAATAATTCACAGACTTAAACATAGATTTACTTATAATTCAATACTTGTTCTATGCTACTTTGTAACAAGACTTACAGGACAGTTGTCCTTTCTTTTAAGACATAGATGCTGACCAGTACCATCTAGCCTGAAAGTACCCCTTAAGAATCACTGAGTTGGTGATGTAGCTCAGTTATAAATAATTGATTAAGGTGCTAGGTCCCAGGTTCAATACCCAGCACCACAAAACAGTTCACAAGGTTGGTCTTGCCTGGAATACTGCTTTCAAAGGCTGGTACAGGTTATCTAAAACAATTGTGGTGACTGGGGAAAGACCTATAAAGCAGGAGTCATGGGCTTTCTCCTTTTCCCATAGCTCCTGAAAGTCATGGGTACAAATGAGTAAGTCCTAATTCTGTTCAGGTTGTCCAAAATACACATTTCCAGCATTATCAGACCTCTGACGTTAGCTGTTGGCCAAACGATGGGGTTTCGAGTTTTATGTGTATAAAACAAAAATGGGTCAGATTTTTATTTTATAACAGCCTAAGACGCTTTTTTTTTTCGTTTAAGAAAATATTCCCTTTGGGGATGGAGAGATAGCTTCATGGTTGAGAGCATTTCCCTACTCTTCCACACCCACGTCAAGCCGCTCACGATGCCTATAACTCCAGTTCCACAGACACAAAATAATAAATATTTTTAAAACAAAATAGTCCTTATAATAGCAGTGCTACAAATAATGGCAAACTCTTACCCCACAGATCATCAACTGTACTTGGCAGAGGGGGGGAGGTTGATCCTGAGTGTTGTACAGAACCTGAGCCTTGTACAGTTAGACAAGCCCTCTACCTCTGAACTGTATGCTTGCACTTGCTCATGTAAACCTGCTCTCTCCCCCTCTTTCTTCTCCCCTCTCTTCTGCCTTTTTATTTTTTGTTTTTTGGAAACGATGTCTCTCTGTGTAACCACTCTGGCTGTTCTGGAACTTTTCTCTGTAAACCGGGCTGGCCTCAAACTCAAGCATCTGCCTGCCTCTGCCTCCCAAGTGCTGGGATTAAAGAAATACAGCACTTCCGCCCGACTTGACATGGCATTTTGTTTAACAAGGCTGTTTCACTGTGAGCTTTGCTCTCTGCTGCTATTCCATTCAGCAGTGAACCAGTTACTGTAAACTCACCATCGCAGAATTGTTTGAGGGGTTCTTTTAGTGAACATACCAAACAGTGGGTTTCATTATATCTTCATACACAGATATCGGGTGCTTTGTTCATTATATCTTCATACACAGATATCAGGTACTTTGTTCATGATATCTTCATACACAGATATCAGGTACTTTGTTCATTATATCTTCATACACAGATATCAGGTACTTTGTTCATTATATCTTCATACACAGATATCAGGTAATTTGTTCATGATGTCTTCATACACAGATATCAGGTACTTTGTTCATGGTCTTTCCCCCCATTACCTGCTCTGTTCTACCTCCTTACCTAAGAGTCTCCTTTTACTTTCAATATTAAAATATATATTTGCATCTAGTTTCTATATATGAGAGAAAGCATTTATCTTTGTGAGTCTCACTTATTTCCCTCAACACAATGCCTTCTGGTTATACCCATTTTCCTGCAAATGAAATGTTTGTTCTTTATAGCCGAATAAAACTCCATTATGTATATATACCACATTGTTTTTATCTGTTCATTCACTAATGGAACACTAGGGACATCCCACGTCTTGGCTATTGTGAACAATGGCGCAATAAAAACAGATGGATTTAGGCATTTCTATGATATACGATCAGGAGTCATGAGGCTGGATCACACAGTAGTTGTATTTTTAGGGTTTTTTTTTTTTTTGAACTGCCATACTGTTTTCTGTGTATACCTCCCCTCTTCATCCTGTCCAGCATTGGTAGTTGTTTGATTTCTTTGAAAGAGGCAGTGTACATGCTCCATATTCCCTTGAGACGGGCTCTCACCGAATTTGCTCCCAGCAATCACCATGTCTTCACCCCATCCTGTGCTGGAGTAAGAAACACACACGACCACAGTAAGCAGCTGGGGATATGGACTCGCGTTCTCATACTTACCAAGCAGATGTTCTTTCTTACCCACTGAGCCTTCCCTCCAGCCCTTGCTTGCATGATGACAGCCATTCTGACGCAGGTGGAATGGACCTAATTACATTTACCTGGTGGCTAAGGCTGTTGAACATGTTTCATGCATTTGTGCTTTTGAAAGATCTCTGTTTAATTGGTCTGCACATTCCATGTGCTATGGTCCTAGCCTGAATAAAAAGGACAAAGCAAGCACAACACCAACATTCATCTTCCTCTGCTTCCTGACAGAATACATTCCCACCATCTGCCTCAAGCTGCTGCCATCATGATGTGTCCACTTTGATGACTGTACCCTCAAACTGTGAGTCAAAATACCTTTCTTCTTCAAGATGCTTCTCCTGGGTGTACAAGGTTTGTTCTTTTGGGCCACCAACCAGCTCCCAAATCATGACACAGAGACTTATTAGCTATGAATTCTCAGTCTTAGCCTCATTTCTTGCTAGCTTTTATAACTTAACCTATTTCTCTTCATCTAGGTTTTGTCTCAGAGCTATTTACCTACCTTCCTTCAGTCCTTCCTTTCTGTAGATCTTACTTTCCTGCTCCTCCAGTCTCTGGCTGGCTGGCAGCTGACTGGCTTCTGACGCCAGGCCTGTCCCTCTCTTTTTCCCTCATTCTCTTCATTCTTTCTTAAGCCTAGATTTCTCCTTCTACTTATTCTCCCTGCCTGCCAGCTCTGCCTAACCCTCTCCTGCCTAGCTATTGGCCACTCAGCTTTTTGTTAGACCAATTAGGTGCCTTAGGCAGGCAAGGTGAAACAAATGGAACACATCTTTACATAATTAAATGCAGTACAAACAAAGGTAAAACACCTTCCCATAGTTAAAGTAATGTTCCACAGCATAAACAAATGTAATACATCTTTGCGTAGTTAACATAATATTCAAGAAGAGTTATGTATTTGGTCACAACAACAAGAAAAGTGATTAACATGGAATCATAAGTAATATGTAATAGACTGAAATTTTTGCCCTCCCCAAACATATTTGTATGTTAAAATTCTTACCATAATTTGTCGATTATATGATGCCTTTGGGGGGGGTAATAAGTTCATGAGTGAAGCCTCCTTCCGAATGGGATTAATATCCTCTTAAGAAGACCCACCACACTCAACATAGTGGTACATACTGTTAGTCCCAGCACTCAGGAGGCTGAAGTGGAAAGATCACCAATCAATGCTAGCCAGATTATATAAAGATACTGTCTCAAAAATGCTAAACCAAATCAAACACTGAATGAACAAGAGACATTAGAGCTTGTGTCCTCTCTAACAAGAAGATTGCAAACTGCAAGCCCCTACCAGACACTACATGAGCTGTGAGTTCGATTTTAGATTCACAGCCTTCCAAACTGTGAGAAATAAAGTTCTGTTGGTTAAACCACCCAGTCTGTGAGACTTTGCTGCAGCAGCATGAACTGGGTGTGAGTCAGTAGAAAACTGTTGTAATAGTTACCAGTGTGAGCTCTTTTTATCCTTTCCTCTAATCATAAAGGGATGTGGGATTTCCGTCTGTATGCTGTGATTACCATTAATGAATAAAACTCCTTTGAGCCTATAGCAGAGCTAGGTCCGGGAAACTAAACTGAATGCTGGGAGAAAGGAAGCAAAGTCAGAGAGAAGCCATGGAGCTGCTGCCAGAGACAGACACCAAACCTTGCTGGTAAGCCACAACCATGTGGCGATACACAGATTAATGGAGATGGGTTAAATTAAGATGTAAGAGTTAACCAATAAAAAGCTAGGGCTAATGGGCCAAGCGTTGATTTAAATAATATGGTTTCTGTGTGATTATTTGGGGGCTAAGTGGACGGAACAAACAAGTGGCCCCCTACAACAATAAAGCATAAGCAAGTGCCTACATGAGCAATCCTGAAGACAGATTCTCTCACTTAAACCTCTGTGGGAAGTTCCCTCTTTCCAGATTTTTTTGTGGTATGATATTAGAGTACAAATAAAATTTTTATCCATACTTTCAGTCTTTTAGATAAATCTGCTACCAACTTAAGCAATCTCTAGGTATTTCTCTTTCAAGACACTTGGGTCACAGAAAGTTAGTAGCCACAATTATTTAATGGCTTATGGAGCTTCCAGCTAGAATTCATGTTCTAATTCCAAAGCAACAAGCACACATAGTAATTATTTCTGGTAATGCAGTGGAATCTTGGTGTATAATAAATATATACATAGTGCCATCCCAGAGCCTTGCTTTAGTCCATGATGTCATCCTCCTTGAGTGATGGACATCTCCAGGTTTTATAGAGTCTGCTCTGTGTTGATTGAACTATGCAAAAACTAGCAGAGAAATAATAGTGGTAAACTTCCAGCCTTCTCTTGGGTGGTTGCTAAAAATCTCTCTTCAACTCTCTCAGGCAAATACAGTCTTGTTTCTGAAAGTCCCCGCACTCATGTAAAAAGTTTCCTCTATTAATTAAAAAGTACACCCAACTCTGTTCATATATTTATTTTTCAATTGTTTATTCTACACTAATTAAATAAATACTAATTCTTTTTAGTAAGAGTTATGGAGGTGGGCTGTGCTCTGTCCTGGGGTACCCCATGCTGTATAGCACATCAGCTATCAGGCTTATGCCTTGTCATAAATTATAAAACAGCAATTTCACCTGACTTAGATACATATACTAAGACACAATGACTTGGTAACATGTGTGAGCAAGTAATGCCCCAAGATGTTGGGCACACAAAACTTTACAAAGAACAGCCATCAGCTGCACAGCATAATCATAAGGCACAAATTCATAACTTATGTTAATTAGAAAATACCACTTATACTTCCAATTAAATCAACAACACATGGAGTTATCAAACTGTATCAGAAACACCATTCTTTTTTGGGGTTTTCGAGACAGGGTTTCTCTGCGGCTTTGGAGCCTGTCCTGGAACTAGCTCTTGTAGACCAGGCTGGTCTCGAACTCACAGAGATCCGCCTGCCTCTGCCTCCCGAGTGCTGGGACTAAAGGCGTGCGCCACCACCGCCCAGCTCAGAAACACCATTCTTGTGAATGTATCAAATATACCAGAGCAGTGAACAATAAAAGCTCCTTGTGTAAAATATAAAATACCTAAGAATGTGGCATCATATCACACAGCTACATGCCATTTTGCCAAACCTCCCAGTAGGCATATTACAAGATCTCCAGTCAATGAACTTATGATTCTGTCCCTGGCTTTAGCTTAGTCCAGTCCACTGCTTTACACTGTTCATTTGGAAACTGCAGGCAAGCCTGACCTGCCTAGAAAGCTCTGCCCTAGATAGATCTGATGTTTGTGAAGTGACCAGACATTTGCATCAGCTCTCCACTTTTGTTCAAGGGTAAAGTCTATTTAAATCTTGTGGACACTCTTAACCCTTTCCCGGCCTTTGTGCCACCTGTGAAGTGTGTTCTGGTCGGCATAGACTTTAGGAATGGAATGGGTTGTAAAACTGCAAGTGCCGTGGCCATGACTATCAAACAAACCAGGAGTATCAGTGAAGAAAAGCCGTTGAAACTGGGGTGACTTTCAAATGTATTGTTAGTTAATAAATTCTGACACTGTAGAAGGATAAGAAATGTTTTGGAAAAGTTTGCTTATGATGGAAGGAATCTAGTTGCAAAATTTTCCGTTTCTAGACAAAACTATGGCCAGTTTAAGTTGCAAACACTCAATTAGTAATTTGATTTAAATTTAAACACTGAATTTGAGCCATCTTTAGGCTAATAGCCATAGAAAGGAAAGCAGACAGATTCTATTTCTTTGCTTCTCCACCTCGTATGCCTCCTCCATTCCAAAGTCAGTCTGAGTAGAGACTAAGCAGCCCTCACCGAGACGGTCCTGTGTTTGCCATCTTTGCATTCTTTCCATCTGGCATCAAGAAGCAGCTAGGTGGTTTTCAGGGTCAGGTGCAAAATTCAATGTCATACCCTTTGTTGAAGAAGAATCAGGACTTTCAAGATAGTGACAATGAGGCACTAAAGAGCAAGCACAGCTCCCTGCACAGTGCACATCCATACAAGGCTAGCAAGTGCTGCAGGCTGTCTGTCTAGGGGTTCTTAGGAATGTTGCAACCAGCTCCTCTACCTGCATTCCCTATGACATGGGTGTTACACAGCTGGCTATTCCCAATCACCTCTTAGCTTCTGTTTCCTTAGCCTGTTTCAACCTTGTCACCTTGAGAGAAGGTCCTATACAGGATGCAGAATAGCTCCAGGCTAGTTCTTTTCTGACAGAACTTTCTCTCCCTGCTTTCTGTCTCTTTCTCCATCTCTTTTCTGCATTGGAGGAGTTGGGTGGATTATTTACAAATTCAAAAGTTGGAATTAGATCCCAGCTCCTAGATCCCCTCATTTTGGGAATTATATCTCCGGAAATCTACCTGATGCCATGGAAGCCCAGCGGCATGAGCTGAAGAAGCATCCTCCAGTGCCTCCCCACTGCGAGTGAAGAACCCAACTTTCTCTCACAAATCCCTTTTATTTGGTATTTGCTACACTATTTTATATTCCTAAAACAAATGAAAAGATTTGGATTATATTTTGAACCATTTTTCTTCATAATAAGGACCTTGTATGAACAATGGTCCCTTTTATGTTTTGAGCTCTCAGTTGAAACTTCAATTTTTAATTCCTATTAAAAAGTAGTTTATCGACGCTTTTGTTTCTGGCTCTGCCTTGCTCCTTCGAAGCCGATATCTTCCTGCAAACATGGTAGACATTCCCAAACCATGCTTGGTTTCTGGCTAAAAATGTGGCAAGCACTGACCTCAGGAAATGACACAGCACACTAAGGGCAAGGATGCTCTATCCGTTCAGGGCAGGCTGCCTTAGGATAGGAAACACAGTGGCTATGGTGGGCAGTCTAAGCCTATTTTCTGGGTGAGAAAAAGGCTAGAACTACAAAGAGGATTATGCTGGGCGTGTTGAGGCTTATGTGTGTTAAACCTAACTGAAATCCAAGAGAATTCTGGATATTAGGAGATGCAAACATTTTGAACTAGGCGGACATAGGAAGGCAGAGAGACAACATGCAATCTAGGTCTAAGCTGCTTTCGCTATGAAGACAGTCATGAGTTTTTATATTCACTTCAGAACAAGGTAGATCCTGTTGTGTAAATATTTTCTCTTATTTGGATATGTGCTCATATGACTAATATACAGAATATTACATTATACAGAATAAAATATATTTAGGTTAACAGGTGTTAAATACACAAATTAATTAAAATAATATCTTCTCTACATGTTTGTATTTTTGTTTGACAAGTATGTGCCAAATTTTTCTATTTTTGTACACTGTTATTTATATTACTGTTATTAAATATTTTAGAGACTCTTGCCCTGGATTGATTCCTCAAATATTTTTCTTAACTGGTTTAAAATTAATACAGCATTTAGAATGCAGAAGCAGGTGAATTTCTATGAGTCCAAAGATAGCATGGTCTAGAAAACAAATTCCAGGCCAGCCAGTACTACATCATGAGATCTTGCTTTAAGGCATCATGAGCTCCTGCTTTAAGGAAATAGAAAGTTTAAAACTAAACACATTGGAATTTCATCTCCAGAGATTCCAAGATACAGATGCCACAAAATCAAGAGTAAAAATGTAAGGTTTATTTTTTCAGAGAAAAGATCACTTAGACAGTGATTCCACTGAGCTATATAAAGCCTTAGATACAGGCATGCATGTGC